GGACTACAAATATCATGTGCACACTGAAAACGCTCAAGCCTTCGTTTAGTATCATGGATAATTGGAAAAAGAAGTGAAGAAGTATAGCTCACAATTCATTCTTTTTAAAGCGGAACATGAGCGTGTCTGTGTCTGAAAAATCGATCACCTCACCCTAGCAAACGCAAAGTTTGACTTCTTTTTTTTTGTATCCTACTACAATACGTTATGATACAACTTCCACTATAGAAATTTCTCCGTCAAGTTCTTTTCCGCGAGTTTGTTAGCAATGGAGCACTTGTTCTACTGATGTTATAAACCAGCAGATAGACATGCTTCACTTCTGACAAAATCACTTGCGAGTGAGAAGTGTTCAGAAAATACCTGACTCGATCATACTTTTCTACTAGATGATAGTTTAAAGCGATAGAAGCAAAAATCTGGCAATACGAACTTGAAGTAGAAGCGAAGAGAAAGTATTTTGTTGTTTCCGACTTCACCAAGGAATAAATGAAAAGCGGGAGAACATAAAGCATGAGTAATGAGAGTCCGATGAGATGCGACAAGACTTTGGTTGAGAATCAAACAAATCCAATTTTGATACCAAGGTGCCAATTCTACAATATGATCCTCTGTAAGACATCTTATTCAAGCTCGTTCCCTTTTTAATAGTGACAGAAATTCTCCGACTATTCATTTCCTCGAATAATACACAAAATACTTGACATATGATGGAAGACGCCAACAAGCATACTCTGATCAAAACTTATAAGTAGTGTACGAAGACTCCGTTTGCTTGCGCATTGTAGGACAAAAATTGTACCCCTACAAATAAAGGATACTGACCAGTAAATCAAAACAGCTTGAAAACTGATGCCTCTAATGACTTTTGACTTAGCTACATTCGACATGAAATATTATTAAGTTGTCTAAAGGTTTCCCACCACGTTGGAAAAATACTAATTAATTTTCTTTCGGTACTTCGCCTAACGAAAATACAAATCATCACATGGACAACATGTAGCAAGCTTTGCCATAGTTTTTTGGCCAAAAACATTATGGAATACTTAGACAAATTTGCACAGGAGCCCATTGGTTGATTCTTTTTTGCTTGAGGATGTATCGCCTTTGTTATTAATGCTAATTTGAAAATCATCGCGATAGAAAAACAAAATATTCGATTAAGTATTTCATCGTATGATTAGCAGTAGTTTCTTATCGATAATGCATGTATTTGATGTAGAGCTAATGAAGTACATTTTCTGGCTTAATAAAAATGACTGTTATAAACTATGTAAGACATGAGGTCCATAACCCGCACTAAACATGTAGTATGCGCGCGTTATTTTGCTCGTTAGCTATAGTACTAATGATTTGTTTTCATTTGTTTCCAAGGCCGTATGTGGAAAAAGAGATGGAGGAGCATGCTATGGCAATGCTATAAACAAATTAGCATTTTTTTCACTTGCGCCTAATTGTTGCTCGAAAATCACTCGTCCTCACAAAAGTGCAGATTCTTAATTTAATGTTACCCCTTCAAAAAAACATAACTTTTTTGAAGCATAAAACGTGAGGAAGCTTAACTAATTCTGTCTTGTCTCGCATTGTTAAAAGATTACTAAGGGGATAAAGAAGAAATCCGTGTTTCAGATTCACAAGGTTCCCTCTATGGTACTCAGAGGACATTATTAACAAATGAAACTTCATAAGAATTTTG